TCCCCTCCAAGCTCTGGTTGAAGTCTGCTCCCGGACCCCTGACGTTTTCTAGGGGCGCTAGGGCCGCCGCGCCTCGTCCTAGATAGCACCGTCTGCAATCTTAATCCCAAATGCCGCATCCAGAACTCCAGCAAGCACGCAAATGCCAGCGCAAAAGCATCGAAGCCTGCCTCGGCCTGTTATGTGGGCCACCAGCATACGCCCACAACAGCGACCGTTCCTAGCCCCAGTGTATCATGACCTACACAGCCGCAAGGGCACGCTGCACAGCTTGCCCGTCAGTCGCTACTCCGAATTCCGAGCCGCGCTCAGCCAAGCCTGCAAAGTCAGAAAGCACTGCCACCGCTGTGGCTCCCCTTGCACGCTCAGGTATTAGAGGTCGCTGGAAAGCCCGTCTCTAGCCTGGAAGACGTACCCCTAGTGTTTCAAGAACCGACGTACCGGCACTTTACGACACGCTAGTCGTTCGCATCTGCATCGCATGCAGGCATAGAAATTTCACCTCCCATCCGTGGGAGGGGCTCCGACGGCTCAAATGCAAGTGCGTGTCAATGACAACGTCCAAAGCTTGAGTCTGCTTGCTGAAGGCCGTGTACTTTGCGCCATCTGTAGCATACCGCCAGCCATGAAAACTTCCATGGACTTGGCCGTGCTCTCTGCCAGCTCCGGCGGCGACGCCACAATGAAGTCGTCGAAAAGTTGGTTGTCATCACGTAGAGACTACGGTTGGTGCAGCATGCGAACAAGCCTCAACAAGCTAAACGCGGCGTGAGTAGCACCGAAAGGGAGGCAGGCAATTCAATCGAAAAGCCACTGGCTCCTTACGACATGCATGGATCGAACACACAAACAAAGGCAAAGCGTTGATGGCTCTCTAGGATGGGAACTTGCCTGTCAGATTTCAAATCGTAGGTTTTCGACAAGACCTCTGTAGGCAAATTCTCGGAGTTTCGTGTTCGGAAAACTCCTCAAGCATCACAATGGCAACATCCAGGATATGGAGGGCAGGCTTGCTACTAAGTTCTGCAGTGTCTTTGATCCCCAAGGTGAAATTGTCAATCACCCTGAGCTTACTGCCTTGCTGCAACCTCGGAGAAAGGTGAGCATCATTGGGGAGGCTACTTATGGAGTAGGGGCCCTCAATCCACTTGCGCTCCAACTCCTTCTGCGTCTCTTCCCAAACCGACAAGTCAACCGCCCGGTCTTCTGATGCCACAGTGCAGGCAACAACGGCCTCATTCAATTGCTTCAAGTGCTGGGATACTGCTGACTTCAGGACGGAACTGGGACGCAATTTTACCGCCTAGGCTTCGCGGGCGACTTGGCTTCGCTGATAACTATGTGTTTTGGGAGGCTTGGAGCACCTGCACTCAAAGTGATAACGCGTCACGCCTATCAGAGTTCCCACACGAAGTTGGAGGACGAAGCATTGGATGCCTTGAGAGAAAGGCTCACTTTGAACCGCCCCAGGGATGGCTCGCATATATAGATGCTGCCTTCGGAGTCGACCGTGGTAGCTTAGGGGGCGTGCTTGAACGAGATGGGCGAAGTTCTCAGCTGGTACGCAGTTGAGCTGGACGAATGCGCATGCAACGCCTTCAGCCCGCAGAAGAAGGACACCGTGATATATGAATTGGAGTTCTTGGCCTTGGCCTGCGCTATGCATATTTGGAAGGATTATTTGAGGAGCTCGCTCGTAACCTTCTATTCGGATAATGAAGCCCGATATTCTTGTATCAAGGCATCAGTGGAACAAGGAGTTCTGAGTGGGCCACTGAAAGATTTCCTCGCTGAGGAAATGAACCTGGGGGTCGACCTCTGGTTCTCTAGAGTTACCCAGCGAAAGACATCGCTGATTTCCCTTTGCGAGGCTTGGACCATCCAATGTTGAAGCCATACATGCGCATGGAAGTTACGCAAGACCAAGTGAGAACCTTCTGAGTAGAGAACTGCATCCTCTGTCCAACAATAATCTCGACGGTCGAGTGGGGGAGCTGGGCCGAGATTAGTTGTACCCCTCTGAAAACATAATAGTCATCAATCAGAAATAAAATTTTAGAATACGTTTTGAATAACTTTTGGTTTTTGAAGATAATTGCTATAGCTCGGCTCCTCCATATGACCTGGGGAATTGGCGCAACAACTAAAAGAAATGAGATGAAGTTCAAACTTGTTTGATCGAATTTTATTTCTTGCACTGTTAGAAACGTTTTATGTTTCGTGTGCCAATTTCCCCAAAACTTGAGATCAGATGCGCTTTAAAGCATCAACAGTTACATTTCGAAGATGTCCTTGTCGACACCTCGAATTCTGTCATCGCGATTCATGACTTCAAGGGATGCGGAGTGGTGGGAGCATTCTATATTAAGGGAGGAAGTTTTTTGGACCCACCCATCCCACACCTTTGAAGTCAAGCTGTTTCACCTTTAGCTTTGCGAGAAGATGTCTGCCAAGCAACATATGCCAGCCGTTGAGCTGGGCCGAGATTAGTTGGGCCGAGATAAGTTGTACCCTTCTGAAAACATAATAGTCGTCATAAGTAAATAAATTTTAGAATGCGTTTAGAATAACTTTTAGTTGAACCTTTTGAAAATAATTGCTAGCTCGGCTCCTCCGAATGACTTGGGGAATTGGCGCAACAACTAAAAGAAACAAGGCTGCATTCCGGCTTAAGTGCTCCCTGTTGGCCACCCAGGGAGCCAAAAGCTCCGGATCACTGAGGCAGTCAATGGCTTCAGACGATGGCGTCAAAACATCCTGCGTCTCCTGGCAAGGTCGAAACAGGACTGCGTGGCATGACGCAAGACTGGGTGCTGGTTGAGCAATGCGCAACATCTATTGAGTATACTAATCTACAATTGACATTCAATAGATGCCGTATGCAGAGATTCACGTCCAGGAAACGTCGCCAAGCTGCGGGAGGAGCGGCTGAAACGTTGCTATGGCTGTGCAAAACGCCGTGCACAACGATGGGTGATGGAACCCAGGCGCAAATGGTTTTCGAAACGCGAAACATAAACAAAGCCCTCAGAGGAGCAACAGGATGAAGCATATTGAATATATTATATTGATAAATGTACCTCAAGTTTGACCGCAACGTCTTGGCAACGGCCCTGTGCCCGTGTGCTCTTACCAGAAATGAGTGCCAAACCATAAACGAATCCTATAGTGTACTTACACTCTAAAATCAATGAATCCTAAGGATCAAAGTAGACCCCTAAAGTCCCTAATTTACCAAATTACAAACGATCTCGATCTAAATATATCTAAATTAGACTCTAAAGATGCTTGGACCTGTGAGAATGGCTGATCGAGATTCTTTTAGTGAAGCTGGGAGGCATGGTCGCAAGCGGAAGGCTGGAGCCTTAATCTCAAAGAAGTTGAAGCCATACTTAGCCGAACAACTGATCGCATTTGTTGATTGGAAGTGCCGATCATTTGCGTAGCTATTCCCTTTGAACTTCATTGATACTGTACATCATTTGTCAAAGGATGTTGGAGGTAAACATGACATAATATGACGATCAGTGTCTGGACTTTGACGTGAATACTTGTTCTTCCTTCCGATTGATATTCCTGAAGCGTCATTTGGGTCCATATCTTGACATCGTGAGATTTGCAGAGATTGATCTCTGATCCTCTCAGGCACCCAAGGTGTGGACGCTCGACGTTCATTCCTAAGCGCTGATGTGCCATTCGCCGGCCAAGTAAAGGTGAAGTTTTCGCACCCCAAAAAAAGGGGTGCATAAAGGGCTTGGCTTTCCGAAAGCCATGCAAGCTAATATGGTTCAATAAGTTTAATAGGTAGCTGCTTTGGCTTGTTCAATGGTCAATAGCACTGTTTGTCCCTCAGATATGTTGAGACTAGATTTGTTGAGCTTGAACAACATCATTGAGAATTGATGTCACTTCACGTGACAGTATGTTGCCGGCAAGAGCGCGATGCGTGAACAAAAACGACAGCTGATTTGTGGGTAAATTAACGGATCCTTTCTATCTGTTTTGGCACAGGTTCATTGTTTAGCATTGCAGGAATTTAGGTGTCCTTAAGCGGTATTTGTCTTCACATGTCTTCACTATTTCTGATATCTGATATTTCGATATATTTTTTCCAAACTTTTGCTCAATTCTGTTCCTAATGCATAGAAACGCATTTGAGTTTGTGATCTCATGCTTGTAGCTGAGTTGTTTTGACTGCTTTGTTCCCATTGAAGGGACAGTGCACAATTTGTCCAATGGTACCCCTGGAGATGAGTCTGCCACGTTGCTAGCAGATGGGCTTGAAAGTTGAAAACCCGCGGCCGCTGCATCGATCTCAAACACAGCTGGCTGCCAGGACTGTAGCTACAGCTGGCATCGTCGAGACAATATACCACTGAGGATCTGCGACTGAAAAGTGTTGGCGTTTCTCTCAATTTGATGAACTCAGATAGGTCTGATGTAGTTTCTGCACGACGATTCTTATGGTGTGGATTAAAGGTATCAGGTAGTTCAATTGGCTTCAGACACTTTATCGATTTGATTGCCAAGACTTGAAGCAAGATCCTACCCTTTTAGTGGGACCCCCTAGTGGCCCCCCGTGTGGGACCCCCTACTGTGTGCCTATTGGCTTGTTAAAAAAGTACCACAGAAGTTAAACATGTGAAGCTTCGCTCCATGTTGCAGGAGTCCCTCGCTTCCAGGTGGGGACTGCTGTGAATTGAAGCCAGGGAGTAAAACGTTGTTCTCATCGTCGAGGAAAACCAACTTGCATCAGCTCATAACTTGTAAGCCAAAGCTTCCGGACATGCCAGAATATATGAATCTATACTCGATCTACTCTGATAGTATGTCTGTTCAACTGTGTAATTAGTATATTTTGAGTTTTGATGCAATCTTGGTACAGCAACTAGGCTCTTCACATCAGAAAGTGGCACGCTCAAACTTTAATTATGGCAAATTTATGCAAATATCATTTAAAAACATAAAAGCATACTGTATCTATACATGGATTACTGTTAAAAATTCCTCCTGAAAACCAGCCTTTCATGTATGTATATATGTTGTCCATGGTCTGGGAATTGGTAGATCATGAGCAAATGGATGAACCATTTTGGGTTTACATAGACACTTGTGAAGGTAGCTCATGGTGGCTGTGGCCATTTTGCGGGCCCAAACTGGCCAAAGCGCTGAAATGCGGTGAACTCTTTTTGACATGCCATGGCAGACTGCAGTGACGTGCAGCAACTGAAAGATGTTTGCTTGATCATTGTAGGAGATGGTGAGGATGCAGATGCGGTCCTCGCAAAGCGCCGACTAGAAGCTGGTGGGCGACTATGTCATATTCTCACCCGCGGAATTGGGGACCCGAGGGTGAAGGTGCAAAAATTTCCCAATGATGGCCGCTTCTACTGGCAGCCACCTGCATTCTGCAAGATATCACCATTTGGAAAGCGGCTGGGCGGTACCGTTTCTCAAGCCTGGACAAAAACGGGGCCTGACGGCATCGTCCTGCCAGATGACCACAAGCTGGTCGTGGCCCAAATCAATGGTAGCTTGCAACGTGTCCTCATGGTTAATGGCGAGGGTGAGATGGTCATGGAGATGACTGGCTGGGTGGTCTTGTGCCCCACCGTGCAAATAGCAACAACTGCTTCAGTGGAGGTCCAAAACATGCATATGAAAGCCATGGGTACCTTTTCGCGCCGCCGCATATCAGTGGGCTGTGTGGTGTCTTTTGCAGTGCTGCTTACACATTTTCTGCTCATCATTTTCGCTGAAAGATCGCTGCAAAGTCAAGAACTTGTGGTCAGGTTTGTCTTCTTCGCTATTTCAAGCACGGTAACAACAGCAGAACCTATGGTGAGGGTGCTTGCATTTGCCTTGTGCGGTGATGACTTGACGTGGAGACAAGCATGGTCGATCTCTCTGTTCGGGGTTGTTGCGGCGTCAATAGCTACCCTTTCGACAGGGATGGCTTTGTCTGAGTCCATCTGCGGATGTTTCGGCTATAGTGTCTGGTGCATTCTCCTATGTTGGGTGTACTACAGGGGGAGGCACAGGCACACATTGAGGAAATTCTGGCCGCGTCTCACATGGTTGACCTGTGTATTTCTGGGCACGGCTGGCGGCATGTTGTTGGTCGCGACAAGCATTCTCATCTATGCTTCGATGGTCGCGTCAAATCAAACTTTTCTCGCTGCTATCTTCTTGCCTTCTGTGACTGCTGGTGCTGAGATTGGCTTGGTGAAAATGATCCAAGTTGCACATCGCAGGCTCATTTGCATGAGACCGTCAGAAGACATGACCAGTGGCGACCATTTGTTTGTTGTGGTGCCTGTGACGATCATGGCAGTGCATTGTGCTTGTGAGGCTGCACGTTTGATGGCGATCTTTATTGTAACAGTGGCAGATGGAGGTTACAGCTGGGTAGGGTCAGCGGTTGCCACATTCTTGTTCAATTTGCTGATGCGCTCGGGGTGGACTTCCTTTCTCATGTTTCGCTCGTGCAAGTTATTCTGTGGGCGTCGCTTTGCCGCACAGCGATTTGCGCCCAGCAGTTTCAACAAACTGCACAATCACAGCAAGGTCTTTGGTGGTTATCTCCGATTCATTCCTATTGCCAGTTTAGTTACGGCCCGAGCACTGGCCTACGGACTGGCTGATCTACATCCAGCCTTCAACACCTCTGCAGCAATTGCAGCATTGGTGTTGCTTGGCCTTGAAATTCTGGAAGACGTGACCATCCTCAATGAAGTGATCCCGCCATGTCCCATGCCAGAGGATTTCCTCCGAGAAGTCTCGGGCAACAGGGATCCCCATCAACTCTTTGCTGCGGAGCTTCGCCCCTGCGTGTCTATGCAGCCCTGCAGTGTGGGATCCGTGGTTCCAACCCCTGATGCAGAGCTCATGGAATGGCGCCCGGCGCTGAAACGTACAAGCCAGCTGGGGTCAGTCATGTGTGGGCAAGATCAAGTCTTGCACTGTAGTCTCGCATTGCATGGCCTGCGCGAGATTCCATGGACTTTCCAAGTTGCAGTTGCATGGGCAGTGTGTGGTGCAGTGTGTTTTCCCTTGTTTCCAGCGATGCTGGGTGCAGGGTACATGCTGGGGCTGAATGATCCATGCCCTTTGTCGGAGGTGTGGATTCAGTACTTCTGGCAGGAATCTCCCCTCAGATGCTGATCTTTGAGGCATGCTTAGCAATGACCCAAGATTTTTCACAGGAGTTTTACTTGACGTGTTTGTACACTTTTAAATCCGTCCCGCAGCTTTCTGGAGCTGCTATATAGATAGTTTGTGAACCAGGCTGACTGAAGGGTCGGTTTCCACCAGTTCCTTAAGGAATGGTGTACATAAACACGCATACTTCTTGCGTCCTTCGTGCATCCACTTTGTGAGAAAATGCAAAGACGCTTGATGCCGCCCTCCTGTTGCTAGCATTGGAGCGCTGTGTGTGAGTCAAACTCTGTTCCAAATTCGAAACCCTAAACCCCTAAACCCCTAAAGCCCGAAACCCCCGAAACCCTAAACCCCTAAACCCCTAAACCCCTAACCCCGAAACCCCCGAAACCCTAAACCCCTAAACCCCTAAAACCCGCAACCACCGAAACCCTAAAGTTCCGGGGTTTCGGGGTTAGGGGTTTAGGGGTTTCGGGGGTTTCGGGTTTCGGGGTTTCGGG